ACTTCCTGGCAGGAGACCAGGATATACTGCAAGTTGTGAGCTTTTTCTCTTTTAAAATATCAAAGATGAGGGTAGATATCTATTTATACAGGCTAGTAGGACTAAGGGCTTGCTCACGGCCCATTGCAACCCTAGTTAGGACTACGGCTATGAGGACTAAAGCAGACTGAACTTACAGACATGGAAGAGCCAGATGCAAGCCCCATCGATAAAGATGATTTGGCTGCTACAGCTTTGTGGTTCTGGAAATTTACGTCTTGTCTAACTTGGGGTGTAAGCCCTGATGTCTTGTAATGAGAGATGCTGTTTTTAGAATTTTGTTGCTCTAGCTCCTATCACTGAGAAACCAGACACTAAACCACCTGTGACATCTGCAAGCTGGAATCAAAAGTCAACCACCATGACCTATTCATTCCGAGTCCATTTTAGAGAACTGAATCCGTGGGAGGAAAAACTTTCCAGAGTAAAGACACATACTCTGATCAACCTTGGACTTTTAAAATATCACAAGACAGCAATTGGAAGTGAGGGAGATGCCAAGCAAATAGCTCTGAGAGGAATGCCTATCTTGACAACAAAGCACTGAGAAAACACAGCTCCTCTTGCTTACTTTTCAAGAGAACACGGAGTGCCATAAGCCAAGAAGTACTTTTTTAAAAACAGTTGTTAATTCTAGGAAGGGCACTTACGGGGCAACTAATGCATTCTTGCTCAGTCTTGTGGAACACTGATGTTGAAAGGTCAGTATTAAGGGGTTGCTATAAAAATCTTTTCCTCAAACTCTGAGAACTGCTGGCGGGAATGTAAAAGGGTATAGTCACTGTGGAAAACAGTATGGCAGTTCCTCAAAAAATTAAAAATAGAGTTAGGTTCTAGTAATTCTATTTCTGGGTATGTACCTCAAAGAGTCTTGAGTTTTGAAGAGATATTTGCACACTCACGTTCAAAGAAGCATTATTCACAGTACCCAAAAGATAGAAGCAACCCATGTGTTAACTGACAGATGGATAAACAAAACACAACAGAGTATTATTCAGCTTTAAAAAGAAATTCTGACATATGCTACAACATGTACGAACCATGAGGACATTATGTTAAGTGAAAAGAGCCAGTCACAAAAGAACAAATACTGTGTAATTCCACTTATATGAGGCACCTACAGTAGTCAAATTCATAGAGACAGAAAGTAGAATGGTGGTTGCCAGGGGTTGGGGGGAGAGAGGAACGGAGAGGTACTGTTTAATAGGCAGAGTTTCGATTTTGCAAAATGAAAACAAGTTCTGTGGATGCATGGTGGTGATGGCTGTAAACAATATAAATGTACTTGAGGCCACTGAACTGTCCACTTTAAAATGGGAAATTTTGTGTTACATATACTTTACCACAATTTTTTAAAATGATTAAATCTTTCCACCAATTTTCAGAGAAAATTCCTCAATCTTCTCTACCATTTTTTTAAACCTTTGATACCACCTATAGCTTATCTGTTCCCTAATACAAATAAAAGGCAAAATAAATGAACACAGCATATGAGCATCAGTGAAATACTTTGAGGCTCCCTAGAGCTAGGCTTTGTGTGGCAGCTTTATGAGCACACAAATGCTCGGCTGTGATTTTTTTATGCCGGATTTTCTAAGAAAATTTGTTTTACAATGCTTTGGAAAAGAAAAATACTCCTTAAAAAAGAAAGAAAAACACCTCCAATTATCCAGTGTCCCTTCACTTAGAGTTTAACAATGGCTGATATCAAGGAATTCTACTTTGATGGCTCTGAGTTGTGCAAAGGTCATAGGTCATAAGAGCCAGTTTCATGTCTGTAAGACAAAAATACCATTGCTAAGACTTCTTGATAACTAGGACTGCGCCCCTGGGAATAAGGGCCTGGAACCAAAGCTGTTATAGCACTTCCTATCTTTATACTAATTCAGAGTTCCCAAAGCAATTTCAAATACATGATTTCATCTGAGCCACACAAGCCAGTCCGCAGGTAGGTTCTACTGTGGCCAATGCTGAGGAGGGGGAGAACACAGAGTTTGAGTGATTTGACCAAAATCACTTAGCTACTAAGTGGCTAGAACCAAGCTCTTACAAGCTCAAATCCATTCTTGTATCTCCCTAACCCTTAAATTTAGTTCTCTAGTCAAAGGATTTATTGAGCTGGGATCTGTCCCCAGACGACCCCTCGCTGTGTGGGTGCTGTGAGCCACCAAGAAGAAGGAGCACAGTCACAGCAGCACTAAGGCCTCACTTCCTTACTCACGAAGAGAGAGATTACTGGACATACCCACCGGTCAGTATTATTTCTGGCTCAAAGGAAATCATATGTGAAAACATTTAAAAAGCATAAAATAAAATGTTAAGTCACAAAAGGCATAGCTGTCAGGAGACTAAGGTTCCATGATTCTCACCATCAGGAAGGCTGAGTGTGGGAGGGAAGCATGTATGTAAACCCAACCAACCAACCAACCAACCAACCAACCAACACACCTGACCGGTGTCCACCACCGGTGGAGGGAGTGACAAACTGCTTGCTTTGAGGGGCAGGAGGCAAACCTGCAGTCTGCCAAGGTACCAGAGACCGTAGACTCTCGGCCCTTTCCTCACTCGGGCATTTCAAGATGCTGAGGAAGGATACAGGGATAAAGGAGCTATATAACAACGTGCTACAGGCTGGGCATATAACAGTAAATAAGGTAATCAAAGACACAGTGGTCACATGCCATACTTAGCCCAGATTCTGGAGAGCATCATGAAAGGAGGAGCTGAACAATCTGCTGAGCTTACCTACTACTTTCATCCCAGGGTTTGGCAGCTTCCTGACATGTGGGCTGTGCCTCTGTTTATGCCCCCTCAAGAGTGGGAAGGAGGCCTGGCTAGGGTTTGGCGGACTCAGAGACGGAAGGCTATGGAGATAGTAGTCTGGTGTTTGGTAGCTGGGGACGGAAATGGAGGGTAATGGGGCTGCCAAAAGCCTTTCGGCCTCAGGTTTCATTTACTTCATTCATCTAATCTGCAAATACTCACTGAGTGCCAGCTACACCCCGCAGTGTTCTCAGCATTAACGGTACACTGGTAAATAAGACAGACAAGGTCCCTCCCTCAGGACACTGGCATTCTGGTGGAGAAAGAGGAATGAACAAGTAGAAACAGACAATGTCATGATAAATGCTAGGAAGAAAAAAGCCACGGGGTGTGAGTGACAGTGCCCGTGGGACCACGTCGGGCCTCTCCGAGAAGACAGCAATTAAGCAGAGACCCAAATGTCGAATGACAAGAAGGAAAAGCTTTCCAGGCAGAGTACCAGAAAGTGCAAAGGCCCTGATGTGGGAATAAGCTTAGCTTAGCTTATTGGAGGAAAGACTGAAGGGAAGAATGCTATGAGCTCAGGTTAGAAGGGTAGCCAAGGGCCAGACTAGTCAGGGTCTTGTAGGTATGGTAAGAAGCCTGGATTTTTTGCTCAGTGATTTGAGAATTCACTGGACTGCAAAGGAGTGACATGTCTGATTTATGCTTTCATCCTCTGGCTTGTGCCAAGAGGCACAGTTCTGCAGTCCATGGGCTATCTGGGTAAGAGCAAGGCATGGACCCAAAGGGGTACCAAAGGGAGAAGGCCTCAATAATCCCTTTTTCCTTGTCTGATATTATGACTGCCACAAAAGGTAGGAAAAAGAAGCCAGTGGGCCCTAGCTCGAGTTTACAGCCCATCCTTTCTAGCTTTCTGCTTGAAACTGGCCTGTCTTGGCCCTGCCGGGCATGCCTGATGAATGCAACAGAGAAAAGGACCTCTGTTGATTCTTCTCTTTTCTTTAACTACCCTATCCTGAATCATTCCCTAGTGACTTTAGATATTTTTGACCTACCTCCAGGTCCAGCAAGCTACAAAGTTACACAATACTACCCGATCAGGGCAAATTTCTTCTTCCTCTTAGAAGGGTCAACAAACTACTTAAAGAAATGAAAACCATCTTGGGAACCTAGCTGTGGTCTGTCTTAGTAAGTAGAGGATATGCACATCACAATCACTTCCGATCTTAAGGCAATCAATCAAATAAATCCCTCTGACATTTTGGAAGAGAAGAAAAACCAAGCAGATTCTTTTAGTTTAAGACTTTTAGTTTAAGAAATCGACAGGGGTAAGAATGGGAGAAAAGAAAAAACTATCAGCAGCAAAATGACTGTCAGCTGTTTCTAAGGAGCTGGATCTATTTGCTTTTTCAAAGAGACTGAAAAAGTAGAGAAAGGGTGGCTTCGGTTCCTCACATTCTGCTCCCCTTCCCCCAAAAGGATGGGGAGGGGAGCGCGAAGAGAAATCTTTGGCATTCACGAACTCCAAATGGAAAGCATCCAATGATATTGTTTCAAAAGCTATTTCAATCAGACCACACTAACTGTTTCTTACTTTTTTAGACTGCTTACTTAAAAATCGGTACAGAGCAGACAGTAGGGGAGATTAGAATTACTTATTTCGATGACGAAGAGTCAAGCCCAGATAGTGGAAGGTAGTGGAACCGAGGTCTCCTGACTCACACTCCCTATCAAATTTTATTATGTATTTGTATCTTTTAAAAATAAAAGCACATTATAGCAAAATAGGAACAGGAAGTCACTCATAATCCAATCATTATACTACACCATTAGCATTTTGTTCCTTCTATCATAGGCTTATAGGTTCCCCCCCCCCTTGTTATAATCACACTGAACTAATGCTCTTTGCGATACACAGGCCCTTTATATTACCATTAATACAGTCAAGGATATGAAACTTGAGACTGATATGATGTGGAATACAACTTGGTATAATCTGAGCTGAATTTATTATCTTTGCTAAGGACTAGTGACCCCACAAGAGAATTTTGCCCCTCTTATTGAGACAGTAAAAATATACAACAGCACCTATTAACAGGTATTAGAATTCAGGTCCTTTTCCTGGAGTGTTTAAAACAGAACTCTCAAGAAGCCCTGGGATGTAACTTAACTTCAGATCAGTTTTATTTACCTACCTGGTGCATCAGGTACTTGAAGAGGAATGAAAGGATCAGATACACTTAGAAGAGGAAGGCTAGAATCCACAGTCTGCCCACCCTTCCTTTTTTCAGCTGGAATTGGTTGGAGGGGAAGGAAGGGTCAAGAAGAGAGAGAAAAAAAGAGAAAAGCAGAAAACATCAAGTAAATCCAGATGTACTTACCATCTATTAACCCAACTCAAATTATAGAGTAAGTCTAAATTTAGAGGCAGAATAAAGAAATATGAGTGGATATAATTCAATGTAATAGCAAAGTATGTCTAAGATGTACAATCTGGTCCTTGCAACGTAGTCTGAGATGCAATTAATGGTAAAAGTAGGATAGTCGTACATCTGAAATTCCACGTCTTCCTTGGATACTGCAGTCTATAGTGATCTCTTTCAGAATTCCTACTGCAATTACTACTATCCTTATCACACATTTTGGTAGGTAAACAAACTTTGTCTATTTTGTAACTTAGAATATGTGTATAGGTACTTCCTATGTGCCCATTTCCCTCTTGAGGTCCTTTAGGGACTGAGTCCTATTCTATCACCATATGTCAAATGTAGTGCTAGGTAGACAGAAAGAGACAGAAACAGATTTCTTCCCTATTGGAAGGTTAGATAAACCCTAACCTTTGGACTACATCTACCATACTATTGGCATTCATCCTATATTTGGCAAACTTATAGATTTACAGAAATCTATATACCCTATGGAATATCAGAGCCTGAAGGGATCTCAGCACTTTCTACCATAATTTTCTTATTTTCCAGAAAAAAAAGTGAAGCCCAGAAGTTAAGAGACTAGACAGAGGTCCACCAGCAGACCCAGGATCAAAACACAGGTCTCCTGGCTCCGTCTTTACCATTCTTTACCTTGCATTTTAATAATGAGTTAGTTCCTGAATTAAAATCTAATTTAGCCTTTTATAAAGTGGATTAAAAAAAACCTTTTAATTTTCAAGTAACTGTAGAATCATAGGAAGTTGCAGTACATAGAACTCTGTGAACCCTTCAACCAGCTTCCCCCAGTGGTGAGTTCTTATACAACCATAGTTCAATATCACTGACATCAGGGCAATTCTGTTAACTAAACTCTATTCAGTTTTCACATTTGTGTGTGTGTGCTTGTGTGTTTATAGTTCCTTGCCATTTGACAGTATGTATAAATTAGCCTAAGCACCAAAACAATGATACACAACTATTCCATCAAACAAAAGAACTTCCTTGTACTCCTTTATAGTCACACCCACTCCTTACTCCTGTCCCAGTCTCTATAATTTTGTCATTTTAAGAATATCATTCAAGTGGGCTTTTAACTAAGCTTCTTTAAAGGTAGGTCTGTGGAGGAAGAGAAGGGTTAAAATCACTGCTCTTAGTCTCTGAAATATTTTAAAATGAGATACAATGAAATATATTAAAAGAAAAAGAACAAATTATGAAATTGAATGTATAGTATAATTCATGTTTGAAAAAAGTATGTACAAAGAAATAAAACTATGGACATAAATATTGTTAAATGTTAGTAATGCTTTCCTCTTGGAATGGGGTCATGAGTTTTTCAATCTTGCTTCCTTGGGGTTTTAGCAAATTAATATATATAATTTATCAACAGAAAAATACAGTAAGTCCCCTACATATGACCTTCAAGTTGAGAACTTTCAAAGATGTGAACATGCGTTCCTATGTCCAATCACGTAAGTTAGTTCACGCGTCTGGTGTACATTGTCACATGCAGCTTGCCCTCATCTCCTATTGCTAACGATCCTTCAGCTCTACCATCTCCCACCTCCTCTCCCTCCTCCAGTCAGTAACTCTTCTTGCCTGTTCACTAGATGCCAGCCCCTGTATGCCAGCTGTTGTACTGTACTACTGTACTTTTCAGGGTACTGTATTGTAAGATTAAAAATGTTTTCTTTATTTTTTGTGTTTGTTTTTTATGTATCATTTGTGTGAAAAGTATTATAAACCTATTACAGTACAGTATTATATAGCTGACTGTGCTAGTTGGGTACCTAGGCCAACGTTGGTGGACTTACGAACATATTGGACTTATGAACAAACCGGATTTACGAATGTGCTCTTGGAACGGAACTCGTTCATATGTAGAGGACTTACTGTATTTTAAATAAAGAGGCACAATGTCAAGTTTTAATTGTCTGCCTGTTCCTCCTCTAATGTATGAACACAGTTTAGCAACATTTTTGCAGCTTTTACCATAAAAATGTTAAGGATAACCCTTGTGTCATCCTCCCCAGCTCATCACCAAATTTCCTGCTTCTCTCCTCTCTTGGTTGGTTAGAAGGTTTCAAATCAGTGAACGGTCTGAGCTTGATTAGAAAACTTGGAGAAAATGGTGCCACCCTGAACTTCATACAGTGAGGACACACTAATTTCTGGGATTTAGATATAATTTTATTTCATTTGTAAAGAATGAAGATTCCTCTTCATTCATACCACAAATGCAAACAAAGGGAAAATACCAAACGTTCATAGAAAAGTGCTGGATAAATTGAGGAAAATACGAAGATGTTTTGTAATGCCTGTAAAAGCTTAGTGTCACTGATTTATAAGATTTCTGAGATGTGGTTATAACTACAGCTTCTGCGCTGGGCTGCCCAGGTACAAATTTCTACTCTGTCATTCCCCACCTATGACCTTGGGCAGGTCACTTAGCCTCTCATGGGCTGTTCTGAGGGATCACTGGAGATAATGTGCATAAAAGCACTTACCCAGTGGGCTTAGCACGCAGCATGTACTCAACATATGTTTGCAGGTATTACTGTCCTAATTACTCAAATATGTGTTTTCTAATGGCTGGGCCATTAAAAAAAATACTGCCATTTACAACCTTCAAAGTTAAGCATTAAGGGGAGAAGAGGCAAAAATAAAAGCAAAAAACAACTCTTTAAAAAATAGTTCATACAGACAAAAAACAAAACATAAAATGTATGATAAGAAAGAATTAGTCATTAAAACTGGAAGTGGATGGAAAATGATTAGGGACATCTGTTATTTACATTGGTGAATCCAAGCTCCTATCCTTTGGCAAAAAGCGACTCCTTTCCTTCATTCAACAAATGTGTACTGAGCCAAGCACTGTACTAAATGCTGGGATTCAGCATCAAAGAGACCCTCCTAGGGCTTATTCCATGACCCCCTTTCCAGGGAAACTATATCCTACCCAGCACCATAACTAGTCATCATTGTGACATTTTATCTCAAGGACAATGACCAATGCTTTACACATTTGGTATATTTAGTCAACTATTTGGCATATCCAACTTTAAGCACTTTCAACCAGACCAAAATACCAATAAATTAAAAAATTAGGGCTTCCCTGGTGGCACAGTGGTTGAGAGTCCACCTGCCAATGCAGGGGACACGGGTTCGTGCCCCCGTCTGGGAGGGTCCCACATGCCACAGAGCGGCTGGGCCCGTGAGCCATGGCCGTTGAGCCTGCACGTCCAGAGCCTGTGCTCCGCAATGGGAGAGGCCACAACAGTGAGAGGGCCGTGTGCCGCAAAAAAAAAAAATAAAATAAAAATTATATAGACCAGACAACAAAGCTAAAAATAAAAAATAACACACAAAAAATTTTCACTATTTAATATTAAAAAACACACCTTCCAAATAATTCCAATGCCTGTTCCAAAATATTAACAATGACATCATATGAAGACTTATGGGATATGGTTAAAACATGAGTTTTTTCTTACAAGGGAAACACACAGCTGTTAGAAAGCACTCTCAGTAACAGTGTAATCCTCAAAGGCTGGGGTGGGGTGGGCAACTGGAGCAAGAAAGAGGCAAGGGAATAGTAGATTCTCTGTGAAAAAGTCTTCCTGGAAATTATAATTAGCCTCCCTCCCCACTCTCATGCCAGATGAAAATCACTGTTATATTGAGAGAAAAACTCTAAATACTTTTTTTTAAAGAATTAAAAAAAAATTTACTATGTGTTCTTCTTGAAATCAGCAAAAGTGAACCTAAGAAAAATAGGGAACTGTAATCAAAAAGATAAAGGCAAAAGATAAAGAATTAGACAACAGAAAAAGAGTAGTTCTATAGAGTTGTCTTTGAAAGGTAATAAAATAGCAAATCTCTAGCTAGAGTTACCAAGAAAAAGAGAAACACAAATACATACAATAAAATTGATGTATACAAAGAAAATATTATAAAAGATTTAAATGTATTCTTCTATTTTATTTTAAAAAAATTGAAACTATAGATGATTTTCTAGGACATTATTATTAAATTTGCCTTATTATGAGGCAGAAAACCTGAGAGAGGAAGTTCTAGAGCCAGAGGGTTGGTGTCCCAGCTCTGCCACTTACTAGCTATGTGACCCTGGGAAAGAGACTAGCCTGTGCTCAGTTACCTCGACCATAACTGATGTGGGGATGATGTGGCAACCTCGGCGGGTTGTTGAGAGGGTCAGATGAGATAATACTTGCATAGGACAAATGACAAACTGGGAGAAAAGTTTACAATATGACACATGAAGAGCTCTTACATATTAATAAGAAAAAAATAAACACAGCACATTAAAAAAAAAAAAAAGACATGAACAACACAAATCCCAAAAGAAATAAAAATGGCCAGTAAACAATGTCCTCTGTCTACAGCCTCTGAGCTGGTCTGTCTGGGAAAAACAGGTGAAAATTACTCATTCACTGTTGACTGAAATAAAATTTGTATAGCATTCTTGGAGGGCAATTTGGAAATATGCACCAAAAGCCTTAATTACACATATCTTTTGATTTAGCAAATAATCCCCTAAAAGCTATCTTAAAGAAATTTTAAAGGATATGAATAAAAATTTGGCTTCAAGAATGTTTACGTGGTGAAAATTAGTAACAACCTAAGTATTAATCAAAGGGGATGTTAAATACAATGTTATTGTTCTTCCATTAAAAATCATGTTGTAGATTAGTATTTATTGAAATGGAAATTACTAACTCCCATAGAACGTTTACAGAATGAATAACAAACTCCTGCATAATATCCAAGAGAAAAAACTGCAGAGGCCATATTATCACAACGCAATGAAAATATATCCTAAATAACTCTAGGGTAAAGAAATCAAAACTTAAAAATTAAAATTTAAAAACATCCAGAAAAGAATGAGAATAAGAGAGCATTACAGGGACTTCCCTGGTGGTCCAGTGGTTAAGAATCCACCTCCCAATACAGGGGACACGGGTTGGATCCCTGGTCGGGGAACTAAGATCCCACATGCCGTGGGGCAACGAAGCCCATGAGCTGCAACTACTGAGCATGTGGGCCATAACTACAGAGCCCGCATGCTGAAACTACAGAGCCCACGTGCTCTGGAGCCCTGCGCCACAACTACAGAGCCCACACGCCGCAACTACTGAGCCCACGCACCACAACTAGAGAGAAGCCTGTACACCATAGCGAGGAGCCCACGCACCACAGTGGAGGATCCCACATGCTGCAAGGAAGATTCCGAGTACCACAACTAAGAACCGACGCAGCCAAAAATAAAATAAATAAATAAATAAATAAATAGAGCGTTACATAGCAAATGTTATGGAATAACAGCCAAAGTTCTAATCAGAAATAAATTTACGAGGTTAGAAAAATACTGATACACCCAAAGAAAGGAAGAATATGAAAAATTAAAAGCAGAAATTAATCAATATAATTAAAAAGATCAATTTTGAAGAATATCAAATTCCATATCCTACAAAGAACATATTCAAAACCTCACATCCATTGTTGAGGAATTTATAACAGTAAAACATTGACATCAAATTAATGTTTAAAAAAGAGGTACCTGGTTAAATACATTAGGATGCATCCACATAAAGGAATTTAATGTAGATATTTTAAAAGTTATATTCGAGGAGCGTCTTTAATGATATGGGGGAAAGATGCCAAATTTTGTAAGCAAAAATAATTAGGCTTTAAAATATGACTATAAAAATGTACCTTAGAGTCATAAAATGAGGCTGAAAATTGTGCACAAAATTGTGGACACGTGTATTTTTGTGAAAGAGAAGATCTGTAACTTCCCTTAGATTCACAAAGATATCTGTGACCCTAAGAAGGTTAAATGCCACTAACAGACATCCAAATGGTATTGCTATGCTAATTTCTCAGGGGTGAGATCATGGGGCTCTTAACTTTCTTCTCTATGCTCTTCTATAAATTACTAAATATGTATATTATTTATTAATAAAAGGGAAAATTAGGTTTTTATAATTACTTCTAGAATGTTTTTAAACGTCTCATTTAAAAAGGTATCTCGCTTCCGCCACAGCAGCCATTAAAGAGCAGCAGCCATGGCTCTGCGCTACCCCATGGCTGTGGGCCTCAACAGGAGCCACAAGGTGGCCGAGAACGTGAGCAAGCCCAGGCACAGCCGCTGCCACGGGCCCCTCACCAAGCACACCGAGTTTGTGCGGGACATGATCCAGGAGGTGTGCGGCTTCGCCTCTTACGAACGGCGGGCCATGGAGCTGCTCAAGGTCTCCAAGGACAAGCGGGCCTTCAAGTTCATCAAGAAAAGGGTGGGGGGACACATCTGTGCCAAGAGGAAGAGAGAGGAGCTGAGCAATGTCCTGGCCGCCATGAGGAAGGCAGCAGCCAAGAAGGACTGAGCCCTTCCCCTCTGTGCACAATAAAACTTCTTCAGAAAAAAATAAAAATAAAAAGATACCTCCCTGTCCCCATAAGCACACACACACATGCACAAAAACACAGCATAGAAGAGACTGAGATATAGGATAGAGCATCTAATTCTTAGAACTCTTCAAGTCATTCCAAAGAACCTAAGCAATTACAAGAGATTAACAGAGTGATGTTCCTGAAATTTAGAAATATTTGCTGAAAAACATGTATGTGGACTTGAGAGAACAAATCCTGTATATTACTGCCAGATCACCCTGCCATTCTAATTCAAAGTGATTCTAGATCTTTTTTTATCCCGATCTTTTTATAGGAAATCTTCAGAATGAAGAAAACTATGTTACCACCAGGATCTGGGGCTCACTGCCATGCTAGGGTTATCTGTGGACTGGAAACCAGTGGGAAGGTCACAACAGTGAGTCTTGAGCTTCAGGTGTTCGCCATACTAACCAGTTCCAGCAGAAAATGAGGAAGCGGCAAAAGTATCACCTTGGCTTGGTTGAAAGCCTGGGATCAAACTCTCAGCTGAGCCTCCAAGCTTCTCAGGATGTTTGCCTGGAGGGACAAAATACCACTCGGTTCATCCCAGCAGAATCCCATGATGCACACACAGGCCAGGGGTGAAGGGCACCCTCCAAACCGACATCTAGACTTGACTCATTTTACTGCATTATGGCAACACCTTGGCTATTCAAAGGTCCTTGTCTGGTCACTGCAGTAACTGAGAAACAGCTGAGGAAAGAAAGGAAGTCTAAAGCTCTAAAGCTTGAGGACATTACTCAGAGCACAATGCCTCCAGCCTTCACTCTGAATCGATTTATCTCTACGTCATTCTAATGAGTTTGATGATCTGTTTTCCATGTTGAAAGTAGTTATGAGAGCAAAAGAGAAGACAGATGGCAGTAGTGAGATGCTATGAGGGACAGGCACAATGACAATGGCTTAATGTAAAAGCCAACAGTTGAACAACAAGAACAGTGACAGGAAATTACTAAAAATAGATACAAGAATTTTAAACTTGGGAGTCACTTAATCAGGTGCAAAATACTAGTTTTCAATAGCACATGAAGGTATTTCTGTTTACAGTCTAGAACAATAACTGGCATACGTAACGATGAAACAAACTGACAATAAATGTCAAAGAAAGTTAAATCTTATGCCCTATGAAGAAAAAAAAAGGCAAGAAGTGTATGGATTTTTAAAAGATGTCTATAAAATTATAAAGCTAAAATGTTTGGTCAAAGTTCGTATCATTCACTCCGTTCTGATCATTCCTTTACCCTGTGCTTTTGTCTACACTGAGGTACTTTTCTTGAACTGTATCATACTGTAGAATTTTCCCAGGGTGTGTGCTGTTGTTTTCCAAGGTGTATGTGTGTCTGTGAGTGGGTATCTTGCCTTCCAAATTAGACTGTGGATTTGAGGGTAGAAATGGTACCTTCTGTTTATTTGATCTCCGCTCCAGGGTCAGTCAACAGTAATAGAGAATTCTGATCATGAAGATTCAGTGTCTACATGAGGGCACACTCTCGCGGGTAAGCAGCTACGACTTTCTGGGACAATAAACCCACTTAGGACAAGGTACCATCACATTCCTCCAAGGAGTGAACATGCTTGACACTATCATCCTGATCTATGCTACCAAATCTTTCCTAAAAGTTTCCCACTCTCCTTGCTGCCAGCCACAACAGACCAGGATTCCCTAAGGATGAAGAGACTTCGGTGCCCTAGTAAAGATACAGGCTGATTTGTGCATATACTTCAAAATCAAGTCTTTGAAGGAAAGAAAGACCCAAGCCTGCATTTTCACATGCGTACCCCTCTAGAGTTAATCACAAAAAGACACCAATTACTCACCTTCCCCCAGCTTGGCAAAGTCCTTGTTCAGCAGTTCTTCAGCTGTGAGTTTGGAGAAATTGTCGTCGTCAAAGGGATTCCATGTAGAACCTTCTGAAGGATTATAAACGTTTTGCTGGGAGGCCCGAGGGGAGCCTGAAGGAGTGGTGGTTGCAGACCTAGGTAGGTTCCCACCCCCACGAAATAAAAAGACATATCAAGGTTGAAAAGGGTCAACCTATTTTCTCTTTGTTTCAAGAGCAAATTATTTTATAAGTCAAACCATTATTTTCTACAGTATGTTTCTAAAAGGGCTTCCCGTAGCAATGGAACAGTTTCCAAAGATGCCCTTTCCACTGTGTGAAACAAACATCTCCCTTTCTTTTGTGATTCACTGTCTCCCGCTACATCTTTAACCTCTTGCTTAGATTTTTGGTCTCATCTGCAAGTTCTTTCAATTCAGGATCCCAAAGCCACCTGTTCTTAGGCTCGTGCATCCTGTGGTGACCACTGTAACATTCACAACAGCTCCAGAGGGGCTGCCGCCTATTCCGGCTGCCTCGCATCTGTCAGGATCCAGCATCAGTGGACACCATCACAGTTAAAGAGCAACAAAGACATTTACCACCATCTTGAGCCCCTGGGTATCATCACCTGATTTTCTTCTAAAGTCCCTCTTGATGCCCTTTGCATTTAGCTAATGACTCAATTTAAAGATTTTTAACTTCCGTATATGGTTCCAAGAAAGCTGAGAGCCTGACACTGCATTTACGCAACAAACACTCACTGCAATCTACTTGATGTCAGGCACAGAGCCTGTCACCGGATTTACAAAGGCTGATTAAGCCACGGTGCTTGCTGTGGATGAACTTGCAGGCTAGGTCTGCTAAACATACTAATAAATAATGATAATACAGTGTGATACATGCTCCAAAAAGGGTTCAGACAAAATTATATATGATACCAGAGGAAGGGCCAAAGAAAATATAACCTCCAACATGGATCTTGATGAATAAATAAGCATTTCCTAAGTGGACCAGGAGGAGAGTGGCAGTTCCACCAATGTGATATAATAGTCCTTGGTCTGTTAACCAGTCGGTTCAGATATTATTCTACAGGCAATGGGGAGCCAATGAAATGTTATCAGCATGGAGAGATTTGATCAGATCAAGAATTTAGAAAACACATGATACAGTACGGGATGGAAGACAGACTGGAAACTGTGAGGCAAGTAGGAAATTATTTCTTAAGATCAGTCTGATCTACAGGAAAATTCAGTTTCTCAATAAACACAGACACTCACCCCTACATATACATCTACACACAACTACATACACATGCAAAAATCACACAGCAATGTTCCCCAGCAGCCCCTGCCCACAAAAGCAGTACATACTTGGACTTATTGAGACTGGCCTCAGCTGCAGCTGCTTGGAGCAGCTGGGTTGATTTGCTGGCAGGGACCCCAAAGACTGCGCTGTGGGTCACGTCGCTGAGAATCCGCCTGTGCCCAGCACGCTGGGCCTTGGGGGACGATGGAGGAGTGAGAGATCCGAGTTTCTGCCCCTGGATGGTAGGAGGTGGGGTTGTCTGAACCTTTGGCTGTTGTCTTATGGGGGCTTGAATCTGCTAGGAAGAGAGACAAAAGCGTTAAAAAAAAAAAAAAAAAAGGGAAAGGAAAAACAAATAAGCAGACGAGCATAACAAAAATGCCATGTGAGAGCTAACATATGGCTCAAATGGCTCAGTTTATCAAGAACACCCAGAAAGAAAAAAACAAGGCTTTGACGATCTGAGCTGCAGCCTTGAGACTGATACCAGCATGGTACTTACCTGGTGCTTATATATAAATTTCAATCTTCATCAGCAATAATATACAGGGTAACCATATGTAACTCGACCCAGACCAAAGACTGCAGAAGCTATTCCTAGCTTTAAAGACCTAGAGAGTTTCCTAAAGGACCACTTTCTGCTTTAGGAACTCATTCAGAATGCCTCCAAAGGGCAGCCTTTAAGCATTCTACTGGCACAGTTACAAGCCAATGAAGGCACACCTCTAGCTAAAACACATTTGAGCTGAGTGATTTCTGCTAAGAGATCCCTTTCTGACAGAGCTCAGACTACTAGTTAAATGAGACAGAATCTCACTGTGATTAATAAATGGCAGCACTTTTTTGCTTTTGTTGTTAACACTCTAGTTCATTGATAGGATGGGTCTTACAGGATTCTGTTTCTGTGGCAACCCCTGAGAAAATGTACAGCATTGGAGCAGTGGGATTATCCTGTTCCCATCTTCAGTTTGGAAATGGCACTGAAGAACCATGTAGAGAATACAGTAAAGGAGAAGAAAAAAATGTAAAAGCCCTTGATGACGACTGATCTAATAATACGAGGCCTCTTGACATATAGGTCTTTTTCAGAAGGAAGGCAGGACACACTGTCACCACAGAAAAACAAACTGGTGGGAACATCTTTGTGGCCACACAGTGAGTCTTTAAGCATAAGTCTTGATCTACAAAGTTCTATGTCAAGAAAATGAACAAAAATTAATATTAAGAAGGCCACCTAACCCTTTTCTTAACTGTCAATCCAGAAATAAAGGAACTCAGAACATTAAATGCCTCAAGTATTGAACTATCCCTTCCCTCCAGTCCTTCATCTCAGATTGGAGCTGCCCCTCCACGCTGCAAATTGGTTCTCACATTCTGTGTCTTCAAAGATGAAGAGATTTAGGAAACTAGAGTGCCCAGCTACTTGGGTCAGGATGCTGACAGCCTGGGAGCTTCTGTACCTATATTGACTCAGACTTTAATTTTATTGAGGCAGGCTACGTACATGTGAGAGTACACAACCACTCACCAATCGAATGAATGATACAATATAAGGTTCTAATTCCGATCAAATTAAAGTCAAAGGGTAAAGCAGCTGACTGCATCTCTGAGTGAGAAGCAAAGTGCTCTGGGAAGAAGACCAGAGTTCCAGCTCCACAACTTCCTCAGGGGTCCAGAAGTGCATCTGCAACAGCCAGCCTAAAGCCAGTACCCATAGGGGCGAGAAGGGATTTAAGGACAGAACTAGATTTGCTTATTTCTTGCAGTTTAAGACATTCACTACACTGAAAAGGGTACTTAACTGTTGAGGCCCTTTATTTTGAAGAGTCCAGACTACCTGGAGAACATTTTCCCTTCCTTCTGCCTATTCTCTGTATGCAGCACACTGAAGAACAGATGCTTCCATCATGAGGACACCTTGTTTTATCACAGCTACCAATTCAAACTGGCTGCCACCCATTCAGCCACTCCCCACAACAACCCTGTCAGGCAGTTTTATTTCCAATCAGAAACTCAGAATGAAGAGTCAAAAAAGACCTTAGAGAACATGGATTCCAACTCCCTCATTTTAGAAGAGACCAGACCAAGGCCCCCTAAGGCTAAGTGCTCACTCAAGGTCACACGGTCAATTGAGGGCAGAATCCATGTCTCTTGACTATCGCCCAGGACCCTTTTCTGCACCATGATGCCTCCTCATCCAAAAATGGGATTGGGAAGGGGGAGGAAGGAGAAACAGACCACAGGGGGAGAAGAAGCAAGGTAGACTCAAATGCCTATCTTGCCAAAGATTTTTTAAAAAACAAAATATATAACTATAAAAGGAGTATAATAACATCAAGAAATGTAAGGATATAGACTAGGGGAGAAAAACCACCCAGACTTCCATTCCACTACTCTAATACAACTGTTCTTATCTTTCTGGTATCTTATATTTAAGTCTATTTCAAGTACATACTCGTCCCATAATCTCATCTCTCCTCTAACACTACCTCATGAGAGTTTCCATACTATTGTACAGACTTTTATGACCATGATTTTTAAAAATTAATTTATTTTTATTGAAATATAGTTGATTGTTTTTGTTTTCTTTTAATATTTATTCATTTTTGGCTGTGTCAGGTCTTAGTTGAGGCATGTGGGATTTTTCATTGTGGTGCACGGGCTCTTCGTTGCGCCGTGCAGGTTTCTCTCTAGTTGTAGTGTGCAGGCTTCTCTCTAGTTGTGGCGCATGGGCTTCAGGGTGCATGGGCTCAGTAGTTGCGGCACGCAGGCTCTCTAGTTATGGCGTGTGGGCTCCAGAGCTCGCAGGCTCTCTAGTTGTGGTGTGCTGGCTCAGTAGTTGTGGCACGCAGGGTTAGTTGCCCCACGGCATGTGGGATCTTAGTTCCCCAACCAGGGCTTGAACCCACGTCCTCTGCATTGGAAGGCGGATTGTTAACCACTGGCCCACCAGGGAAGTCCCTATAACCATGATTTTTAATGGCTGCACAGGTGAGTTGTTGGAATGAGTTAGGTTGCTTCCATGCTTGTGGCTATTATTAAGACTGCAATAAACATCTGTGGGGTATGGCCATCCTCCCTTTGCAGATTGCTGTGAGATGGCTGCAGGGTATACTTTACATTCAATTACTTGCTTCTCTAGCAAAGTCCTACAAAGGGTCACCAGAGAAAGGGAAGGGTCAAAGCTGGGAGGTTCTCTGGCTCCTGGCTGAAGCACGTTCTGTTCTCGTTCCTTCTCTGCGCCCTCAACCACCTACCCCTGAACAAAGTGCTCAAAGTATTTTTTCATTCAAGGAACATGGAGAAGGATCACAGTTCATTCCCAAGGAAGTGGATACTTTTGTCCAGGGTCAGCAGAGGGGGACCCCATAAGAAGTGTATAGTCAGTGGTAGATGATCGCGTCCTCACCCTGAACGATCATTGTTATTATCCTTGAACACAGATCAGGATTCTTCAGTTCATGCCCCAGCTCTGGTGCTATCAGTCTGTGTGTCTTGGGTGATCCCTTTCTAGCCTGGGCCTCAGTTTCTAATTCCATTAAATGAGGACTGGACAAAATAAGATTTCAACTAGCTACATGATACAATGATTTTTTTAAAACTCTTTTTCCATTAACAAGAGGAACTTTGTCGCTTGTTAAAAATACAGAGAGTAGCTGTCTACCAAACGCCTGCAGGAAGACCAAGCTGTTTCAGAAACGAAGGTGTAAAGACACTGAACACACATTTAGCTGAGACTTAAAGAAGACAATCTATTTACGGCACTGCTTCCTTTTGAAGGGATGCAGCTTTTCTGGTTTAAGATGAGTGACAAAACTCTATTAGAAATCAATCCTCAGAAAGATAGTTTCTTACTTTTCCTTCGTTCTTCTAGTGGTTGGGCTTCCCTGGGAATAAGAGAGTAGCTGTGATACTCTGTCAGCTGGGTATGTAAAATGCCTTTTTCTATCATTATAAAATTTTCTATTACTGTCACTCTGTGAGTACTCATTAAAGGCACTCATTAAAGGTCAAAGTATGACGTGCCTGAGGATGTACCTGTAGAGGTCAATCAGAAGAGCATGTAGAGGTCTTGATTCTATACTCAGCCAGTATCTAGAAATGAACATGCCGAATTTCTAAACTGACAAGATGGCTCAAACAACAGTCAGATGCTCTGGTGCCCAGAGGGGGATCAGGCCACGACAAATGGTCTCAGCAAGCGGGCCCTGGAAGGGCGCTGCATAGTAGACTTATTTAGGTGGCCAGTAATATCGTCCAAGACAAAGAAGAAACACAAGACTGTCAGGACTCAGGGTACAGGTGGAGGCCTACACGAACCTCCGGAGACTGCGAAGGCCACAGTGGTCAAACTGCCCCCTGAAGACGGGAAAGGGATTAGCTCTAACCCTACCTAGGGCTTTGACTGCTTGACACTGGCACTGACAGAGACAATGAACAGCTCTTTCTGCCAGCCTAATATTAGAGTGAGAAATAAGAAAGTTCATCGTCTATTAATCCCATACTCCTAATTTATGCCTCCCCGCTCCCTTCCCCTTTGGTAACCATAAGTTTGTTTTCTATGGCTGTGAGTCTATCTGTGTCTTGTAAACAAGTTCATTTGTCCATCAGCAACCTAGAATCATTTTTCTAAAACCTTAAGCTTCTAGAGTATACCTCATCCTTTCCCTGGATGTATCGGGAAAAGATCAAATATCTTCACCACCAGGGCGGGGAGCAGCCGTGCCACACCAGCTGCTGCGGCCTCTTTCCCACCCTTTCCCTAGCCCTCACTGCGTGCTCCTCTTCTGGTTGATTCTCACCGCTGGCTCCTGGGCAGGGGCTGGCTGGGGGGCTGTGGCTGGCTGTGCCTGGGCCTGCTGTAGGGCTACCACTGCGGTCTTCTGCTGCAAGGCAGCCTGCTGAGTCAGCAGCTGTTGTTGATGCAGGGTTGTGGCCAGCTGCTGCTGCTGGTAGAAGCTCTGTATCAGCTGCTGTTGAGAGCTTCCTTGGGCTACCACGGGGAACTGAGCGATCGCTGGTTGCTGGGCTGCAGGGTGTACTGCCTGAAACTGAGCAGGAGAAAGTGGCAAGGAATGAAGAGGTGAATAAAAGCCTGTCTCAGAACCATATTCCACAAAGGATGAATGTCTCAGTAACAACTAAGACCGGTGCTGAAGCCAAAGGCAAGGGCAGGTAGGGCGTCTTTTACCTTGGCCTGAAAACTCACGAGGGGAACCTCAGGGCATGACATAAACACAGCAGCAACACTGACAGGCTCCAGCCACTGCACTACCTGCCTCCTGCAGTGCAGACTGGCTTCCGAGGGGTTTCTGTGCCTGGCCTGAGGGCATCCATCTGACTGTACATCTTGTGACTCCACATGCTGGAGCGTAACAGAAGCTACTAAATGATCTGCTAACCGCAGAAGTTATCCCTCTCGTAAAGGGATTTGGAAATAACCAGGATTAAAATTCTTCCCTACATGAACAGGATGAAGCAATGATGACACTAAGGAGAATAACCTAAATGTTAACTCAGTTATTAAGTCCTCTCAAGCCTTTCTGAAAATCATTTCCCAATAGCTCTCTTTATTATACTCCCATCTTTAAACATTCAAAATATTCAATATACTCTACCACTTAATGATATTTTATCTTATACTGGTAGCATGGTTTCAAGTTATATTCTTTTATAAACTTCCTGAAGACAGGAATACTTCTCTACTCCTCACTGCTAAGGACTCTGTGTAAGGCACAAAAAGCTGAAAAAAGGGCCTACTGATGAACAAAAGTCAAGATCTTGTCTGTGAAAGCCCAAATACTGTCACTTAGTTATGAAGTTAACTGGGAGGATATTGTTTGCCTACTGGGGCAAAGTTAAAGCGTTAGCAAAAAAAGCAGATATCAATAAATAGCTGGCTACTTATAATAGCAAAATTCTAGAAACAACCAAATGTCTGTCAACAGGGGACTGATTGGAATAAACTATGCTATATATCCTTTAAAGGGAACACTCTCAAGTTGTAAATAGGAATGAAGGATACCTCCATATATGGGATGGAGGGAATAGAATTTTACAGATTTAAGTTTGAAATTATGTAAATGTTTTACATTTTCACAAAACAAAATTAAACCGAAATTTAAAAAGCAATAACTAAACCGCAAAACAAAGCAAATAAACCTGTGTATCAGATTAATAGCCAAATTCCTAGAAAATAATGTGCTAAACATTCTAGGTGTAAGAATGGCAAAGAAGGGCTTCCCTGGTGGTGCAGTGGTTGAGAGTCCGCCTGCCGATGCAGGGGACACGGGTTCGTGCCCCGATCCGGGAAGATCCCACATGACGTGGAGCGGCTGGGCCCGTGAGCCGTGGCCGCTGGGCCTGCGCGTCTGGAGCCTGTGCTCCGCAACGGGAGGGGCCACGGCAGTGAGAGGCCCGCGTACCGCAAAAAAAAAAAAAAAAAAAAAAACCCAAAAAACAAGAATGGCAAAGAAATCTTACACTGTTTTCGGTAATCATATTGGTACTGTTATCTTGAAACTATAAATCAATTAAGAATTATGTTAATGTTGTTAGGAATCAAGGTTTCCAGATGAGAAAGATACAAATATAAAATCCAAGAAGTTAAACAAAAATCCTATAATTACAAATCTGCTTTAGAAATATAAATTTGAATTCATGGTGTATATTCTATTAAAAAAAAATATACATGTGTCCTAACTATTCACTGAAAAGGCCTAAAAATAATAACCAACCCATTAGCAAATGAGTATCCCTAGTAGCAAGACTGTGGTCTCTAAATATCATTTCCATTAAAGGGAAACAGCTCCTTGGAGAAATGGCTGATTCCAGGTCAAGGGCAGGATGATTCTGGAACAGCTTGTTACACCAAATAGCAAGGACACATTAAAGGCTACTGGAGTCACAGCCAAAGGACCCAGGAGCCAATCTGAAGAGACTTCCACTGGCCAAAACTGAGACAACTGGGACAAATTTTTTTAACAGCAATGTGTGGAAACATATCAAATATATTAAGATGCATGAACTCATAATGATACTAAGAACAAAACAGAATCTTCATTGTTCACTTCTGGATGGTACTATGAACAAACTCATTATTCTGAAAACTGGTAAACACAGGGAAAGAGTCATGCATTATTTCTGCCTTTTCTGTACAAACAGTACCTCAGGGTAATCAAATACTTGCTGAAAAAGTTCTTTACAGGGGACTTCCCCGGTAGTCTAGTGGTTAAGACTCCGTGCTTCCAATGCAGGGGGTGCGAGTTCGACCCCAAGTTCTTTACAGAAAAATCCAGCCCCTAAATGAAGATGGAATGCTAGAATATCACCGCTTTGCCACCCCTAATGAATTAATGGACTTAGGAAACAAACTGAAGGGGAATATTAAGTGACTGGATCAGACAGACAACGCCAAACCCACAGATTGATCTTAATATTAATAAAAGAGGGAACAAGCAGACTTTATCCACAGTTTCGCTTTCTGCAGTTTCAGTTACCCGTGATGAACAGTGATATGAAAATATTAAATGGGGGGCTTCCCTGGTGGCGCAGTGGTTGAGAGTCCGCCTGCCGATGCAGGGGACGCGGGTTCGTGCCCCGGTCTGGGAAGATCCCACATGCCGCGGAGCGGCTGGGCCCGTGAGCCATGGCCGCTGAGCCTGCGCATCCGGAGCCTGTGCTCCGCAACGGGAGAGGCCACAACAGTGAGAGGCCCATGTACCGCAAAAAAAAAAAGGAAAGAAAGAAAAAAAAGAAAATATTAAATGGAAAAGTCCAGAAATAAACAATTCATAAGTTTTAAACTGCATGTTGTTCTGAGCAGTGTGACGAAACCTTGCACCGTCCCATTTCGTCCTGGCTGGGATCCCCAACCATTGACACCATCTGCTCCTGACATGCAACCATTGACACTGTCATGGCTCCATGGTTCTGGATCCCAAGAAGCAGATGACCCTCCTTCCGACATATGGTTAGAAGGTCAATAGTAGCCTAACGCTATGTCACAATGCTCACGACATTCACCTTACTTCATCTCATCAAGCAGGCATTTTATCGTCTCACATCATCACAAGAATATTTTGTGAGAGACACTACATTCACATAAGTTTTATTACAGTATATTGCTATAATTGACGTATTTTATTATTAGCTATTCTTGTTACTCTCTTACTGTGCCTAATTTATAAACTAAACTTTACCATAGGTATGTATGTATAGGAAAAAACATGGTATATATAGGGTCCGGTACTAGCTGTGGTTTCAGACATCCACTGGGGGTCTTGGAATGTATCCCCCACAGACAAGGTGAGACTACTGTATGTCTTGTGATGTTGAGACTACTGTATGTCTCCTGATGTGATGCAACTGGAAGAACAAAGGACTATCAACCTGAATCAAATACTGAGAGGCCTCAAGAAACTACCCATTTACACAGAGGGTGGTGGAACATATTAAACAACACCACAGGGATGCAATCAACCAAATCCAGAATGTGGGAAATTCCACAGGACAAACGACCCAGTTTCTTTAAAAAAAAAAAAAAAAGTGGCAAAGGGGAAAAAAAGAGGAGGAAGCCACCTATGGCTAAAAGGGGGACTTAAAAGATATATTGATCATTATAAAATGAATATTTTCAGAGCAAAAAAAGGTGAAAAAATATACAAAGCAATTTAAATTATGACACACCAGAAAGAGTTAAACACTACTGGATATTTGATGATAATAAGAAATAATTGTTTTTCTGCTTCAATTTGATGATGGTGTCATGTCAGAAAAAAAAAAGAAAAACAAAAAAGAGTCATGTACCAAAATGTTCATTGCAGCTCTATTTATAATAGCCAGGACATGGAAGCAACCTAAGTGTCCATCGACAGATGAATGGATAAAGATGTGGCACATATATACGATGGAATATTACTCAGCCATAAAAAGAAACAAAATTGAGATATTTGTAGTGAGGTGGATGGACCTAGAGTCTGTCATACAGAGTGAAGTAAGTCAGAAAGAGAAAGACAAATACCGTATGCTAACACATATATATGGAATCTAAGGAAAAAAAAAAAGGTCATGAAGAACCTAGGGGTAAGACGGGAATAAAGACACAGACCTACTAGAGAATGGACTTGAGGATATGGGGAGGGGGAAGGGTAAGCTGTGACAAAGTGAGAGAGTGGCATGGACATATATACACTACCAAACGTAAAATAGCTAGCTAGTGGGAAGCAGCCGCATAGCACAGGGAGATCAGCTCGGTGGTTTGTGACCATCTAGAGGGGTGGGATAGGCAGGGTGGGAGGGAGGGAGACGCAAGAGGGAAGAGATATGGGGACATATGTATAACTGATTCACTTTGTTATACAGCAGAAACTAACACACTATTGTAAAGCAAATATACTCCAATAAAGATGTTATAAATAAATAAATAAATAAATAAAAATTAAAAAAAGAGTCCTTAAAAACCAGCTTCCTTGCTGAGGTTCCCTGGTGAGGTGCAGAATTCCCCATGGCCTGAGAAGAAGCAGGGGAGGGCTGTGAGTGATGCAGTGAGGGCTCCACTGTGTCAGGTTTAGTGTCTGCCATCTGTGAGTACAACGCTGTGCCAGGTCATGGCTCTCTGTCTTCCCAGGGCTTCCCAAGGAAGACACCTGCACGTAGTGGACCTTTTCACAGGGATGACTCACATATGCCAAGCGAGGGTCACATTCACTGCCTTACCTGCTGAGCCTGGGCTTGCTGCTGCTGCTGCTGGTAGAATGTGCCCGCTGGCTGCTGTGCAGGAGGCGGTGCCGCCTGCTGCTGCTGCTGCTGCTGCTGCTGCTGCTGAAGGAAGAGCTGCTGCTGGTGCTGGGGTGTGGCCTGGGCCTGGGTGGGCAGACCCTGGGCCTGCGTGGAAGGCGGCTGCTGTGGGATGGGCGGAGCCTGGGGCTGCTTGGGCTGAGACTGCGGTAGGGGTTGGCTGGGTGGAGGCTGGGGTTTTGGTTGAGGAACGCTGGCTAAAAGGCCAGGCTGATTGCTGGATCCTGCAAGGAGAATAAACTCCATATAAGGGCTCAAAACTCTTCCAAACGAACGCGGCTTTCTTTCTTGCCAAAGCAATAAAGAGGGGGTGATCAGTGGACAGATAATCCCAAGATCCATGGGCTTCTCACTGTCCTTGCACCTGGAAGGCCCTTCCTTCTTCTTGCCATACTTACGTGCTTCATATATTTCAAAACATGGTCCAATAACAGTGTTCAATGCTTGTCTCCTTCAAAAAGTCCTCCCTTGCTCACCATCCCATTTAGTCAATTACTCCTTTAGTCAGTACCCTGAGGATCTACATATTCAACTGGACTTTGATGCTACTGTACATAAACACAATCTTTGCATTTGTGGCACACTGCAGGACCAAAGCATTCTTTGATGGTTTACATGTATGTTACACAACCCCAGTCTGGATGCCTGATTGTAAGTAAATGACCACCAAATTCACCAACAGCAGCTTCCTGGTAGGGGGAGTGATGGCTGTGTTCAGTTACTTGATAATTTGGATCAATCCTCTTTACGAAAGGAAACTCAGTCCACTCATTAGAAATGGAAAAACAAAACATGAAGAGGTGACAGATACTTCAAGAGACAGAGCATTAAAGAAATAATTCCTCTGTGTCCAAAAAGATTTTTTTTTTTAATGCAAAGAGAAGTATATGAAATAGAGAGGGAGGCAGGGGACGAATGGACCACGTCATAAAATCAGGGCCAAGACTAGAAAAAATAGAGACAACAGGCTTCAGTGGCCTTGGAGATCCACTGGAGAATTCAGTGTAAGGCCTTCCTTTTGGCCAGCCATTACCCGTACAACTTCAACGGCAGCTCATCTCCAGTTCCTTGAGGAAAACCATTACTCTTTACATGTCTCTAGATTCCACTCCAGGAAAAACCAGGCTTTCCAAGACTTCTCTACAGTCCAGGATGACAAAGAGGTGTACCAAGTTTCAAACCGACCTAGTTACTGACCTGTGGCCTGAGGTGGGGGCTGAACTGTGGCCCTCTTTCGAGGTGTCAGGGCTGGCTGGATGGGAAGGATTCCTGGGTTGGGCTGAGTCTGCCCAGCTTTAGGCCTCTGGCGGGGTGCTATTGAAGTCTCTGTGGTGGGAATGGGATCTGTCAGTCTAGAAAGAGAAAAGGTGAAAAAAACCCTGCCTGTTAAAGGGTGAGAAAACGAAGAGGGGGCAGACAGAGTACATGATGGATAACCTTTCACCTCCACATTCATCCAAACCTTCCATATCCACTTAATCAACATTTCCCAGAGGGTATTCCACAGGATGTTATGTGTTACTAGATGTTATGAAAAAAAAAAAGGTAGGCAAATAAGTTTTAACACACTGATTATCAAAATAGCAGATTCCTTTCTAGAAAAACTTTTCACTTGTGAATGTGCAAGGAATACCTCAAAGACAGCATTATATAGAATGCAATGTTTCTCAAACTTTTTTGATCTAGGAACCATTTTGCCTAATACTTCTTAGGATTTCCTAGAATCTACTTTGATGATAATGCAAAGAGGGGTTTAAAGCAGGTGGTTTGCAGATGTACAGGGACTCAAACTTGATTCGAACTAGCTGTCAAAATGGTCTCTCTATAATAAGAAGCATCAAATGAGTTAATCCAATAACGCAACTAGAAGGAATAAGTAAATAACCCAAGATAAAGGATTTGGGGAGTGTGACAGGAGCTCTATGTCCTCCAATACACATATTTGCTTTTTTCCATGGTAATAACAATTTTTAGCTGGACATAGGGTCACCCAGAGTAAAAATCACATTGCCCAGTCTCGCTTGTAATCAGGTATGGCCATACGTCTAAGTTCTGGCCTACGTGGGATATAAACAGATTGTTATGTAGCAGTTTCTAGAAACCTTAAGAAACTCTGTGCATGCTCTTTGTCTCTCTTCTTCTTTGGCAATTCCTTGATCCTGCTGCTTGGAAGAGGGATGCTGCCATATCGGTCCATGAGGGCATGGCCACAACCATAGGGATGGTGGAGTGATGAGCTTAAAGCAGCCTGGGTACCTGAGGGCTTTGTGGAACAGAACTCCGTATCAGCCCTGGATTACTTGCCTCCAGATGTTGTTTACTTGAGAGAAAAAAAAAAATCTATCTTATATAAGCCACTGTCATTTGCACTTTCTAGAACTCACAGCCAAATCTAATCTAAATGAGTACAGAGTGTAGTCTGATGGCTCCTTGTGATGGTGCTACAGCCCAGGTGGTAGCTTCCCTTGATTTCGAGCAGTGCAGGAAGCTGGCTACTAGCTAACTGAGATCAGAGTGGCTATCCTTTGAAAACACACTTTAGGGAGTAATAGCTGAGGTGAAGGCCAAAATAAACAAGCTTCGTGAATATTTCCAAAATATATCTGGCACAGCCTCCATAAAATGCAAAATAGGAAGCAGAGCAGCTGGCCCCGTGTCCTTCCTCATGACATGTCTCCGAGGCAAGCCCATTCTGGACCCTGAGGCTTTTCACTGGCATCCTGCTCTCATGCTGGGTGGAAAGCTGGTAATATAATAGCTATCACATCGGAGAGGCTGTGACCTGGGGAAGGGAGGTGGGAAGGAAAACAGGACAGATGCTGGGAAAGAGGAGAAAGGGGTAAGAAAGATCAAGCCAAGGGTGAGGGAGGTAAACAGACTTCTGTAGAAAACCAAACGCCAAGAACTTCCACACTGGTCTCCTAAGAGTAACATTTTTAGAATCAATGGGATTTGGAGTCAAAGAAAACCGTACTTGAACTCTAGCTCCCCAGTAACTAACTGTGATAACAGGCATGCCACTGAACCTCTTTTAGCCTGGGGTCCCTTATGTATAAAATGGAGACAATAATACCTACTTTATGAGGCAGATGTGAACATCAATGTATCAATAACTGTAAAACCATTTTATAAACTGAAGCGTGCTCAAAATGTTAGTTTGTATGGACCTCAGTATATTGTAAGAAAATACAGATCTTGAAGCCAGCAGATCTGGCTCTAAGTTGCCCTATCTGTGTGACCCTGGGCAAACCACTTAACGTGCAGAGTAGAAAGAGTGAGGATGCTGGAGTTCTGGTTCTTCTGCTAATCACATACTGACTAACTACCCTGAGCAGCTGACTTACAATTCTGAGTCTCTGTTTCCTCATCTGTGAAGTGAGAACAGCAACAACCTCACAGATTTGTTTTAAGGGGGGGAAAAAGGTCATCTTATTTATGTAAAGTACCTAATATGGTAGCTGGTATATGTGATGCCTCAATGAATAGTGGCTACTTTAAAAATAGAGTTTGAGGACAATTCCCTGGTGATCCAGTGGTTAGGACTCTGCACTTTCACAGAGGGCGAGGGTTCAATCCCTGGTTGGGGAACTAAGATCCCACAAGACGCGTGACGGGGCCAAGAAAAAAAAAAAAAAGGAGTTTGAAAGAAAAACCCACCTCTCAGGACTGGGGAGCAAATGTGATCACGCAAATGAAATCACTGCAGATTATATACAGAACAGCTTAGATCCAAATCTCTTGGCTGTAAGGTCTGTATATTCTTGCAGCATTACTGAGGTCCACACAAACTAACAGATGGGCACCATAGAGTTTATATAAGTTACACAGTCACAGGAGTGTTTGATGTTCTCATCTGTCTCATGATGTAGGTATTATTTTCTCCATTTTACACAACACAGTACCACTCAAACGTCAGCAGGTATTATAATTTTTATAAATGTGTATGCTTTGTGGGAATGGATCTTTGCTTAGCCTCTATACATACCAAGTCTGGGCCTAGTACAAGATGGCCATAAGCCCAAAAGATTAAGCTAATTAAATCAGCCCCAAAAGCAATTCCTAGAGGTGATCATGGCAGACTTACTAACATATAAACAGAATGCAAAGTAACATCATGGACGTAGTTTGCTAAGTTTGTTAAAAACCAAAGTCTTATTACTTTAGAGCCACATCTGGAATAGACACACAACAGGCATTCTATAAATATTCAAGAATTTTCTAAAACAGAAGTTATTTTACTATTCTATTAAAATTCATATATTCCCATCTAGGGTGCTTTGTTGATATAATTTGCACTAAGGCTTCCTTGACATGGGAGTGTGGTAGAAAAGTAGGGTATAAGCAACTCTGGGACTACCCTGAGAATTTGCCATTTGGAAGACATGGCAGCCATGAGGATGCGCCTTGCAGACCTTCGACTACAAGGGTGTAAAAGACCAAGTGGCTCAGCTATTGTGCTCCTGAAATCCACTGCCCTGTGTGCCCCGAGGCACGCTTCCCAGAGGCTGCTCTCAGCCATAATGTCCCAGCCACAAGGATATTAAGGCAGGCCGGTTCCTAAAAGACAGGACTCCTGGACAATGCACCTTCCTTACCTTGTGTGGCAGGCAGTCCAGGTCACTCGGAGCCAACCTTCTCCTCCCTGCTCTGGGTCAGACTTCCATGCTTTCTGATGGCTCTCCCAGCTTCCTCGGCACCCACTCTATTTTCTCGCACAGGGGCATTTCCCCAAATAAAACCCTAGCTCCTTGACTCCTCTCCTGACCTGCTACTTGGAAGAACCTCCGTTATTTAGAATGTGATTACCTAAGATCCATAGGCTCTTTTGCTGTTCATGGACTCAATGCTTTGACCTGTACTTTCCTAATGTGGCTGGAGCCAAAGAAAGTAAGATTTCCTGGAGATTAATGTGGTGGACTAGGCCATTCAAAGGCCAGGACACATGTTTAGCAATACTGTACTAGCAATACTTAAGGTCTGCTGTCACCGCACCTCTGAATGCCCTGCACCTATTCCCAAGGAAAGGGAGTAGCTGTGGGGTTCTCGATTCTCTTTCAGATGTAGATCTCTGTATCTTACTATATTCCAACTTGCACTCCCAAAGAACAGTTTCTGCCTGGGGGAGACAGAGCTTCCTTTCCTGTTCTGTGCAGCCTCTGGCCATGGCAGCGTTAAAAATCAAGAACCATAAGGTCCCCTCTCTTGCTACTACAGCAACTTTCTTACCTGGCCTTTGGCTGGGTCTTTTTTGCAGCTGCCTCACTGGCTTTCACTGGTTCAGGGAGCTTTGCAGGAATGGGAGAGTTCTATAGAATTGAAAGAAAATTTTAATAGGACACCAGAGATTTTTTAAATAATTGAGATGTAACTGACATACATTATATTAGTTTCAGGTGTACAATATAATTGATTTGATATTTGTAAATATTGCAAAATGATCACCACAATAAGTCTAGTTAACATCTATCACCATACGCAGTTATAGAATTTTTTTTCTTGTGATGAGAACTTTTAAGATCTACTCTCTCAGCAACCTTCAAATATGCAATACAGTATTACTAAGTATAGTCACCATGCTGTATATTACATCCCCATGACTTATTTATTTTATACCTAGAGATTTGTACCTTTTGACTCCCTTCTCCCACTTCACCCAATTCCCAAAACTCACCCCACAGATTTCTTTGAAAAAGAATAACCAGCATGATTGGGCCAATGGAAATACACATTAGGGTCTTCCGGAGTGGCTTTCAGACCCTGATCTCTGGTCTGGGAAGGGAAGAAGTTGACCTAAGTATATCCCACTGGACTCAGCCCCAGTCAGGGAGGCAAAGGATCTGAGAAGGGGACAGAGCAGCCTGAGTACAGCACACTCCACCCCTGTCATTCTCAACCTCTGGGCCAGGCAAGAGCACTGGGGCTTGATCTCAGCTCCCTCCCCCTCCTACAGCACAGCTTAGAAGTGATGTTATGAAAGGAATGAAAAGAGGTCTGTAGGCTATACTTAAGCTCTCAGCTAGATCTTAGAGACGTTGGTGCTGACTAGTGGGCCAAGCCAGGGTGCATCTAGCCTTCGGTGAGAATGCTGGGAGAAACCCACAGCCGCGGTGTGTGTGGTTGCTGAGTCAGCCCCTCTTCCCAGCATGTGAGGCACTGCTCAACCCACAAGGCAGGCGGAGCTCCTCGGGCTCGGATTCTGCACCATGCGTCTAACAGCGCCTCCCGTGGTTAGGGAGCCACAAGACAACGGCTGAGCACCACTGAGCAAGTGCCAAACGGCTTGAGACTGGTGACGCTTACTTTTTAAAAATGAGTTACCAACCTGAATGCTTCCAATCCTATTTCACGTTATTTAACTTCATGAATGGGAAAGTGGGACAGCAAAAGAGATCACGTTGTCTTAGGTTACTGCACAGTATCCTTCGTTTTAATCTGGGAAACCCGAACCATGGAACACTAATAATGAAAGTGGCTTTTAGGAGGCACCTCCATTTCCTTCATGTTTTCAGGTGGGGGGGGGGGAGGGGATTTTGGCTAGAAAATTTCTCCTAGCTTCTCTCCCACCCTCCAAGCATTCCTCTCCCAAGGGAAAGGGGGAACTTACTTGACTGATAAGACTGGGAGAGAAAAGTGAGCTGGTCTGGCTTGCCCTTGGCCCCCCTCCTCTATGGACGAGCCTGTCCCTCAGGAACCAGGCGTTCGCTGCTCAGTCATGTGGACCTAATGTTAGGGAGCCTGACTGGTCAAGCCACATTCCCTGACTCAGTCTTCTTAGTAATAAAGCCAATATGCCGAGCTCCATCTGAACGATTCCCACATCTGATTCCAAATGTGGGAGTGAAAGAGAAGTGTTACTTATCAGCACCCTCAAGCTCCAGTAGTGACATCAGAAGTTCATTACTGGAGAAACTATAAGACAATTTGCAATTAGAAATTTTTTACTCCAGCATCCATTAGTAAAATATTCAAGAAAGTTGAATCATACTATGACATGAGAAATATGCCAAGACTACAAGAAGGGTGTTTGCAAGCACCGTACTCTGAAAACTGTCTGTAGAGTTTAGGATGACTGTGTAGAAAACATTCTGATGGCCTGACATATGTGGGGAGGGTAGAAAAAAAGGAGTGTGAGTTCCAGACTGGCCAGCAACAGAAGCAAAATCAAGAAAGGTCTGCTACAGCAAAGGAGGAAAGGGACAAGGGGCTTATGTTCCCCTAGGCACAGTGGCAAGTCCAGGGCCTTGCCTTAGGGAAACGGCCTGCCCAACCTCCTCTCGGTAAATACAACAGGTACGTTGGCTCTCAGGGAACTAGGACAGCTGACAAGGTAAAGTTGGTCAATCTTTACCCAAAGCGTGTGTGTGTGTGTGTGTGTGTGTGTGTAAAATTGCCTCAGTTTTATAATTAAATTCTATGGAAAAATTGGATTCCCTTTATAGCAACTCCTTCATAGTTAGCCTTGTTTGAATGCCCCCTACTAGATAAAGCAAGGGACGCCTTATTCATTTAAACAGCTGATTGATACCCCAGGAATGCTAAATGACAATTCAATCATGTTTACTTCCCCTAAAAAGTACCTTTCACATACCTGTACATTTGGAATTGGGCATTCTTTCTTGAGTAGTTTAAATGAGAAGTAGGAGACCTGGTAAATATCTGGCCTTTTGTCAGGGTCTGGTTCCAACATATACCCTAAGATAAACATATATGAATTATTTTATAATACCCAAAGAGTTATTACATTAGCTAAGAAGCATAATTTCTCTATTACCAAAATTCTTTTTAAAATTTTTATTTCTCATAAAAGTCAGACAGTACGATTAGCCCTTTTCTTCCCCTCTCAGAAAGGGAAGCTCTAACTTTCCTAAAATTTTAAATATCTGCAAGAAAATAACAAAGTTTTTGAATTGTAACAAAGATACTTTAAGTTCACATTCTGTGATCTGCACAACAGGGACTCAAGTTCTCAGTGTGGAACTTAACACATTCATTTTCTGGTACCTAGGAAGTTCTGGCCTCCTTCTTTCATACTATCAGCTAGACAAATGATTATTCTTGATAATTATAACCAAAACTCAAATTTCATGAATTTACTTATTATTCTTTTGTTGGAGGTACTAGCTGGTTTCCAATCTAAAAGAAATGACAAGATAACAAATACATCTCTACTTTTACTGTGATCTACAGATCATGTGTCTGTTTCCAGGTCCTTTAAGCTTCTGCTCCTTCTGAAGCTGGAAAAATCCCCAGGGGAAAAAATCCTTGAGAAGACACACAAACACATATACATGTAAACAGCAATGTAAGGCAGTTTATTGCTTAAGTAATCAAATGAATGGTTTGGACCCTAAGTTGAGAAAAGACTGATGAGGTTGCAGCCTTATGAAGGCCTTTGCAGAAGAGGCAGGAGCGGAGCTGGTCCTTGAAGGCAGGAAAAAATTTAGTCAGTCAGGGCGAAAGCAGAGAAAAAGACATTCCAGGTAAGAAAACAGTCTGAGCAAAGATGGACTTGGAGAAAGGCAACAGAACGCTTGTTGCAAGGAATAGAGGAACCAAGAGGACAGGGCAGAGGTCTCCTTGTCAGAGAATAAAGGGAAATAAGGTGGGGAGGATGAATCCAGAATACATGGGACCATTGGCAAGCCATGAGGTTTACTGAATAGGGACATGATAGGGTGGTATTTTGTAAGATTAATCTCATAGTGAGGGTGTGTTGGACAGACAGACCAGTCCACCAGTACAGGCATGAGCCGACAGGGTCGGTATATATTATGGTGACAGTGATGAGAACGGAGAGAATGTCAAGCAAACAGGAGAAACTTCAAAGAAAGCATTAATGCTGCTTAGGAAATGACTGACTATTCTGTCTTGCTAGCCAGATCCAAAGAAAACGTTAAATTTCAGTCATCTGGGCTTGAATGGCGACACCACTGATAGAAACTGAAAAGAGGAGAGGGGAACCTTGTACTGGGAGTGAAAGGGGCATGTGTGTGTGTGTGCGCGGGGGGGATAACAAGAAATGCATTTTCAGACCTGTGAGTTAGGGTGACAGCGGACTCTTCCAACAGTTTGTAAAGTGAAACAGATCAGAGTTTAGGAAAGATGCCATGTTACACACATTCATAAAGAGCTGTTTTTCGTAATATGAATTTGCTGCACAAAAGTAAAAAAAAAAAAAAATTTTTTGCAAAAATTCCTACCATTCTAGCAATAAATTTGGCGATTTCCCCATATTTCCTTGCAATCTCATTTACATAGCTGCAATTTTAGTACAGATATCAATATAATGCTTTACCTCTGAAAACATCCAACAACCATTAAACACGATATTCCATTCCTTTAAATACTGCTCCTGCTTCTGTATTAAAAAACGGAAGAGGCGGATTGATAAAACTCGTGTAAACTAGTATAATGGAATGGGTAGTCACTTAAAAGCTACTACTATGTTAACTTGGGTACATTATCTATACTTTTTGAGGCTCCGTTTCCTCATTTGTATAATAGGGATAATTATATTTACTATATAGTAGTGGTCTCTAACCTTTTTGGCACCAGGGACCGGTTTCATGGAAGACAACTTTTCCATGGACGGGGGACGGGGTGGGGGGGAATGGTTCAGGCGGTAATGTGAACGACGGGGAGCTGCAGATGAAGCTTCGCTCGCTTGTCCGCCGCTCACCTGCTGTGTGGCCGGGTTCCTAAGAGGCCATGGATGGGTACCGGTCCACGGCCCAGGGGGTTGGGGACCCCTGCTATATAGGGTTTTAAGAATTAAATGAGGTAGAAGTAGGCCTTCAACAAATGTCAGATGCTCCGCACCACATTTGCTTCTTCTATTTTCTCCAAGTGTATCCCCACCTAGGACCCAAAGTGCATTACTCAGGATTTACAATCTGTGATTGTTAAAATGTGGATACTAAACATCTTGACCAAAGTAAAAAGATAATAAAAATCTCTGTTTCTTCCGCATTCCAATACAGCGGGTTGAGCAAAAATTACTTATTCTGCCATCTGGTTAATGAACATTAGTACATATGCTTACTATGATGATACAAAAGAGTGGGGAATCTTAAAAACATTTTAAAGCATTGAGTTTAAATGCTTTTTATCAAAATCCAGTGATTAACCTAAATGAGAGGAAAAAACCTAGTTCCATAGAGTTATATAGTCTTAATTATGTATTCACTTCAGCCAACGCACTGCAATCATTTTAATTTGAGTTGCTTCCAGTTTTGCAAAGATGAATTTCTTATCGCTTGATATGAGTCAGCTGGACTCCTTTGGTACCAGAGCTTTCATACAGACTGCAAGAGAACAGGGCAGTACTGCAATGCTCAAAGCCCAGTTAAGATTTCTGCTTGGGTGGCCAGCCCAGGTGTGAAACCAAGTTTAGATTTCTGGCAAAAAGACTCACCACTCTAACTAGACACCGTTACATGGTCTTTGAGTGACCAACAGTTATCAACTGATTTCTTTATTTTTGCATCCCACTCACCACTCCTGGGATCTAATCCCTTTATCCTCCAATCCATTCCTAGAGATTAGAAATAAAAATGTGAAACTAGAAACTTTAAATACTTACGAATTAGGCAATGCATATCTTGGGAATATCGAGAGTTATCGGGAATTGTGAAGTTTCCATCACAAATTGCCACTTGACTCTCTCCAAATGGCAGAGTGAAGTAGCATAATTTATACAACAAACATCCAAGAGCCTAAAAAAGTAAAAAAAAGCAGATTGCTACTAGTGATTTATTTATCATAGCTGCAAATGGGTCTGCTGAGAGATACTGGCACCATCCACATTTACAGCAAATCTAAACACTCTGTACTATTAACCCATTAGAAACTTGAATTTAGAACCCAACATCACTATATATCTGCTAAGTTATATTATTTCTATCCTCATTACCAAATTGTGCTCCAATAAAGAACAAGTATTCAGCTGGTTTTGCTCTTAAGAACTAGTAACACATATGTGAGAACCACTTAAATAATGGGCAGGTCACCTGAATAACTTTCACAGAGGTCTAAACTCATTTTCTTTGACATGCTTCGAGAAGCAGTGGCTCATCACCTCGAGTCAAGAATAACCCTGAGGGATAAGTAGACAGTGATATGGTACAGTGGCCACTCTTGCTATGGCACTGTCTGATTAAACTTGGGAGTTTACGGCCAAGACTGCTGACATCTGAGATGTGGATAGGTTAGTTGACACCTACCCAAATGTCTGCCTTCGTAGTGATGATTTTGCCACTGTACAGGTTAACCATTTCTGGTGCTCGATAGGACAGCGTTGTGTATCTACAATCAAGAGATTCATTTTTTGTTAAATATGTCAATGCTATAATTAAAAACCAGGGGTAGCAGAATTACTTTAAAAAATATACATATATATATGGATATATAAGTAGAGTCTAGTTCCCTGGGAGCACCCTGGAGAAGACAGTATGGAATATTAGTGCAGGTGAAATGAAGAGCAGTCCTTGGCACACACCCACGGCCCTCTGGCTGTAGTCCTTCCAATCTAAGAGCAGGTGGGGACGCAGACACTATGGCATTAAATAAACTCTAAAAGCAACTTCTCTTGCTCCTCAAATAACAAAATCTTCTCCTGTAAATCCCTGTTGTCTGATAGTATATTTGGCTGATTTTTTTTTTTTTTAATAGTAATCCCTTTAGATGTGGCTCGACACAGAGATGTAATACTGGCTGGAACACTCAGGAGGATAAAGTGGGCCCTGGCTAGGCTGGGAGGTGGACGGATCTTTGCTGCCAGCATAAGGCTGAAACAACAGTTTTCCTCTTATCTCTGGCTCAAGAAAAGAGAAGGATAAGCTCATCTTCAAAGTGAGAGTCTTAGTGTTACCAAGCCTGTGATTTGCGCTGCTGGAGTCTCTAGAGCCCAGAGGGCTCTGTGGTTTAGATGCCCATCAGGGCCTTGGACCGTAAGTCTTCCTGCCCCAGGCTCGGTTGCCAGGCGTGAAGCAGGAACGGAGAGAGAGGATCAGGATATGTGTGCACTCCAGACTGCTGATTTATGAACAGTGATAGTGAGTGCTGTTGCCTGTGAAAAATCCAACACTCTGGACAACAGGGGAAAATGGGTCAGGTTCTTACCGGAATCACAAACCTAAAGAAGCTTTTTTCTCGTGGAAATCAGTGATTCACTCTCTGTAGAGACTTTAACAGCCCTACGCACCACTAATTCCACTAGATTGCAGGTGAGCTCCTTATGAGCAGGAAGGAATACACAGCCATTTAGGTTTCAGTAAAAAGCACAACCAACTGACTGGTAATGTCACAGCTGTCGTGATCCCACTTAAAACATCACAGTACTTCTAAGGTGTGTGTGCCTTTTTAAGGGCTATGTGATGTAAATCAAAAGATCTATGCATAATGACCATAGGACCATTGATAAAGTGCTGTAAGATTCCTTCACTTTACTCCACTGCTCAATGGTCATGAACCCCTTCCCCATCCTCCACTTAAAATCCAACAACCCAACTGCCAACGAGGGGCAACTGACAAGCACCACTGTCTTCTCACCCTGACCTTCTCAATCATAAGCTGAAGGTAAAACTGCTGATCCGAGAATGGATAAAATTCCAAGAAAGGAGGAAAAGCTTACTTCTTAATCTCATCTTCTACTGCATTGACTCCTTCAGTTTGTGGATTCTGGAATTTGTTGGTAGCACTTCCAAAGTCACACAGGACGTAGTGGCCTCGGTCATGCAAGAGAATATTTTCAACCTGAAAAACATCGCCCAGCCGCCCATTCCAAGATACCGTTTAGTAATGTGTTTGAAAATTTGGTTTGCATACACATCAATAAGATACTTTATTTCTGATAATCTCATTAATGTGCATAGGAAAGTTATTCTCCTCTAAGTATGTCAACAAGGGTCATTCCAAGTGGAACAAAAAAAAGATGCATGGCAATAGGGTGAAAAAAGGAAATTCCACGGTGGGGAAGCAAGAGTCCCATTTTCCCAGACTGCTCGTCACATTTCTCAGCTCTGCAGAAATGGTCCTTATACTGTCAAAGCTTTCCTCAGGCCTCCACTCAGACAAATATCACTCCTTCCCTACGTTCCTTCAGTACTCTGTCCTTCCTGATGTCAGGGATTTCATTTGGGCCTTATAAACACGTATATCAATTTCTTTACTACGATAGGTTAGGATTTTCTGAATTAATAAATATTTGCTGTATTTTGCTTACTTCTCAAAGTGATTAAAGGCCTGTGGGCAAATGCACAGTTCTCCTGTTAAAATATCATCCTTATATACATATATATGTGTGTGTGTGTGTATATATATATATATATATTTTTTTTTCCCAGTATGTGGGCCTCTCACTGTTGTGGTCTCTCCCGTTGCGGAGCACAGGCTCCGGACGCGCAGGTTCAGCGGCCACGGCTCACGGACCCAGCCGCTCCGCGGCATGTGGGATCTTCCCGGACCGGGGCACGAACCCGCGTCCCCTGCATCGGCAGGCGGACTCACAACCACTGCGCCACCAGGGAAGCCCATCCTTATATTTTTATAGATGAATTCTTTGGGCAGTGAGTTAGGAGTTCTGGGTAGGAGGGAGCTTCTGAAGACCAGAACCTAGTGAAATCCTTCGTATCAAAGGTCACTGCCAAAGAAATAACTCCAAAACAGTGGGCACTACTGTACTCAAGATGTATTAATTTTTGGTATAGGTGAATTGAGCTGACTGCTTTGCTGGAGGACAGACCTGGCTATGCATGGGCAGTAAAAATCTTGTTAGGTCAGTAAGTCTGTAGTCTCCATTGTCTTTTGTCTTCAGCCTTCCAAAGACTGATCACCTTCGGAAAACAAAGGTAAGAGTAGACTATAAACTCCTTAAGGACAAGCACAGGTATTTGTAGTCTTCTCTACCAATGCCTAACATAGTGCTTAGAACAGAAAATGTTGGTTAAATGGAATAAACTAAAAAAGAGAAACGCATACAACACCGTGTGTGTGTGTGTGTGTGTGTGTGTGTGTGTGTGTGTCTGTCAGAAATAAGATAGGAGCCACCAAATACCCAGGCCCCTACTATTACTGCTAGTCCTTTAAAAAATATCTTGTCAATTATGATGTCTCTTGTTTCTATACTTTAATTCTTCTAAAATTATAAAAATGTTTATTTTATAGTCTGTATCTGCTAAATCCAATACCTAAAGTCTTTGTTGCAAACTGACTCTGTAGTTTATTGTTTCTTACTCCTACTGAGTGTCACTCATGGTATTGTTGTGAGGGGTTTTGTCATTGTTGTTGTTAACTCATGTTCCTTGGAATTTATCTGTGGGAAGCCTTGGAGGCCTGAGTTTAAAGTCTATTATTCTTCCAGAGATAATTCACTTATGCACCTGGGGCACTAATAACCTATAATCACTTTAATTTACAATTTTGACCTTGGGAGTTTTAGCCACACAGGCAGTGTGAACTATGACCGTAAACTTGCGTGGATATGCTCTTGTGAACAAGAATTCTTAGGGGAGACTTGTTCCCCAAAGACAAGGCTGAGTCAGGTAAATATTTCCACCATCTACAGCTTTTTACAATGCTCATGAGTTTAATCTATGTACACCAAGTGAAACAGTCAAGCTATCCTGAACGTATACTCACTTTAGGAATCTAAAATAATTCTAACAAGGCAACACTAATATTTCCGATCGAATTTAGAGGTTATAAAAAGAACTGCTACCATTTACTGAGCTTTTACTAATACAAGTACTACTGTCTCAGCACTTTACATGGATTATCTCATTCAATCCTCATAGTAACAATGTAATAATAATCCCTGTTATACAGACAGAGAAAGTGAGGCTCACAGTGATTAAGGAAGGAAGTGAACCTAGGCAATCCAGCTCTAGAGAAGGACAGGGAATTGTCTTTCTGCCAGGGCAGGAAGCAGGTTAGAAGCAGAACAATTACTCCAAGCCCCCCATCCCCATCCTCCTACCCTGGTAGGGATGACTACACTCACCCAATGTACTGGATACAAGCTTAAGGCCAGGGGTATCTTAGTTCTTTATGTTCAGAAATGTCCCTATAATAGGAATCTAGTCAATGAGGAACCAAGTGTCTAAATACTAGTCAGGCTGATTTGCTCAATGTCTGCTAAGCATTCCCCATATTGACTAGTTTGTCTTTTTATTCAATTATTGCTCCCTCCACTAGTCAACTCCTAGCCAGTCTTCAAGGCCTTGCTCAAGCCATAACTCCTCAGTAAAACTTTCCATGGCCACCCTACAAAAATCTACAGAACTTACCACTGCTAGGAAGGGGTGACAAAGACCTTCTGTCCAAACCAAGCCATGCCCACTGGTTACTTACCCTCTAGTCTATGGCTGTTTTTAAGCTCCAACAGCAGACTCAAGCAGTTGAAACAGAGCCTATATAGCTGACAAGCCTAAAATATTTATTCTTTGGCCCTTTGCAGAGACGTTTGCCAGCCTCTGGTCTATAATTATATTATGCTCATGTGTCCCCTACAATACCTGGCCAGTATTTCACACACATAAGGGACCCCTAAATCCCTTATTCAGTATCTTTCAGCAACAATCTTCCTTGCTGGCCTCATACATCCTACAGGGTGCCTGTGAAACCATGCTTCTCCTGTTGTATGTGTTCAGGCCCTTCCTGAATCAGATTCTCTCCTTCTAATGTTGGAATGTACAATCTAGAAAACTGAAAAGCGAATTCATATCAAAACACAAACAAGGTAGTTCTAGGGACCAAAATCACTGTTGGGGAAGGGAGGAAAACTAAGTAGACAAAGAACAGAATAAAAGATGATGCACATTGGGGTTTTTGGTTTTGTTCCCCCCGCCCCTTAAAAACTAGGTTTGTTCCAGACTGACAGAACTCAGGAATTATACTATATCTAACCTGGTCCCTAGTTGGCCTCGCTCCCTCCCACAAAGATAACATTGTACAAAACTATATTTACAGGAAAACCAGTTAAAAATTAAGGGTGTGTACAAAAATAGACAAGAGAGCCAGAGATACCAATGCAGGGAAAGCCTGAGCAATATCAAAGAACTATCAATGCAAAGAACCATAATCCCTGCTTTGGTTACCGTGCAAGTCTACTGGGAGGATCAGTTGAGATTAGGAAGGTGAGATCGCTTGGCAGCAGCCACTTTAGCAGTAGCTGCAAGCTCCGCCCTCTCTCTATCCGTCCCTGTGTAACACCAGTTAAGACCTCCGGGCTCCAGCTGGCTGCTGCCTGCATCACCGCCAGCACCATCATCAACAAAACACTTAACACAGAGCATGACATGTGGCAACCACACTGCACCTGGGGTTCAGAAGACCTCAGGGACTATTTTAGATGTCTGGCCTTGGACCAATGTCTTTGGGCTTGTTTCTCACCTGTAAAGTAAAGCTGATAATAATTCTATCACTGTTCTTATGAAGCAAGTAAGAGAATGGATTGTAAACCTCCCTATACACATGTAAGATAGGTATTGTTATCGTTCCTTTATTAAAGAAATACATTTGAACTACTACCTCCTATTACGTGCCAAGTACTTTTCTTGGTGAACAAATCAAAGTTCATCCTCTTGTGGAGCTTAGGGTTTTTTGTTTTTGTTTTTTTTTTGGCCACATTGCATGGCATGCAGGTTCAAACCTGTGGCCCTGCAGTGGAAACATGGATTCTTAACCACTGGACCGCCAGGAGGTCCCTTATTTTATTTTTTAATTTTAATTTAATTTTATTTTTGGCCATGCTACAGGGCTTGGGGGATCTTAGTTTGCTGACCAGGGATCGAACCCGTGTCCCCTGCAGTGGAAGCACAGAGTCTTAACCACTGGACCACCAGGGAAGTCCCTCTCATGGAGCTTAGAGTCCAGTTGATGATTTTTTAAAAAAAAATAATATTAAGTATAACTGCCCGGTAGTGATAAATATTGTGGAAAAAAACTCCAGCAGATTAAATGTATGTAAAGTAAAGAAGGATGATACTATAAACAGCACAGTCACCCTGATGAGCGGAGCAGCCATGGACCACGTGGGGGACAAGCATTCCCAGTAGAGAGTGGCCAGCATAAAGGCGCAGAGGTGGGAGCACACATGAGGTGTCTGAGGCACAGAGGCAGGCCTTTGTGGCTGGGGCAGTGCCATCCTGGGCACCGGAAAACTGAAAACATGGGACCGGACATATTATGGGCTAGCACTCTTACGAATGAGGAGACGAGATAATGCTGGGCCTTGGAGGAAGTGCAGGACTTAGATAAGTGGAACTAGGAACAGGAAGGCACAGGGGCAGGATGATATAAACAACAATGGTATCAGCAACTAACAGAGCTTAATATAGGCTCAACCCTGCCCCATGTACGCTTCTACCTACAGTATTGAACGAAATTCTTACACAGCCTCACTGTCCCTCTTAACACACGAGAGAACGGAGTCCAGTCACCTAACATGTCTGAGGTCACAAGGCTGCGAGGGCGGGATTCGGGCTCAGGCTGCCACACCGCTGGGACTTCACCCTCCCCTGTTGCACTGATGTGAGAGAAAGGAAACAATGAGGGCAGGTACCATCGTCCACCTGTGAGATGACCAGGGCCGAACGGGATTCTAAGAGCTTAGGAAGGTCGAGAACCAACTGGGTCTTCACACATCAGTTTCTGGAAGCTTCAGAGAACCTGCACAGTGACTTCGTTTTTGGCCAAGCCCTTCAGGAAGTCAGCCTGACACTGGTTACCATCACTTACAACCGCCCACCTTTCAG